CGCTCGACGACGACGTTCTTCGCCATTTAATCGTGCCGGGTAAAAATGAAATATTTTTTGTTGTCTTCAAAATTTTTATCAATCTATTGATTTCAGTGATGTAGTTCATAATACATCAAATAATATGTTGCCTTATCGAACTCAACCTGCTGTCGTTTGTGTTGCTCAAGTTAAATCAACAGTAAGAGATCATGTTATCAATTTTTAATATTTTCATTCATTTGGTTTATTTCTTTAGAAAATTATTAGTATTGCTCGAACAACAGAAAATTGAGCACATTGAAAAAGAATGGATAATCGACGTAATTTGATTAGCCTTATTTTTTTTTCCTTTTCAAAAAGAGTATTCAAATTCTTTATTGTTTTTCGTTTTGCTTTGTTATTTGGTCAGATATTCGTTGTTGTTTTCTGATTAGGCGTTTTCTTTTCTGATATCGAGCGATATTTTTTTGTTGTTAATATTATTATTATTTTCTCTCGTTTGTTTTCTTTTGTTGTACAATGTTTATGTATCTGGTTATTATTATTTTTGTGGGTTTATCTGGCAGAGAATAGAAATATAATAAATATAATTATTGATTGGGATCAAATTATTTAATAATATACAATTATTAGCATCTAATCAATTATCAATGTAGTAAAATAAAAGGATAGACAAATATAAGAAAATTTATTCATATGACGAAGTTTTTTCTCTGTTCTAAATAATTGAGACAATTGACAATTGTATGTGAAATAAAAAATGATTAACAATCATGCTTTCAACATTACGATAAATCTACTATACAGATCGATCAAGTTAAATAATAGATAAAAAATTATTCGATCAACATTAGATTTATGTAATCCTTAGAGACTCTATACGTTTTTATTCAATGTACAAATTGAATATTTCTACTATAATAATAAAACACGCATATTATTGATTATAAAAACTAGTTGTAAATATAATCAATTAATGAATTAACTGATTGTGTTAAATGATTTGTGAATGTCTTGATTGACATTTAACCTATGATAATTCTTCTTCTTGACATTCATTATTCTTTATTTTCATAGAATTTTATGTTAAAAAAAAATTTCAAGAGTTCTTCAGTTAGTTCTTTGAGTTATCTATGTATCATTTTATTTACTCGTGAATTGTATCTTACACATTGTATCGAAATTCGTATATTATAGTCTGATAAGAGATATGTACTTGAGCTCTTGTGAATAATAGAACAGAAAAGATTATTATCTCTTATTTATTACTACTTTTCAAAAAGATATCAGGTAATGCAACCAAATTAAACATGAAAAAATTCTACTAAAAATATCTTGATAAATAAATTTTATTGAAAAATCAAAATATTCAATCATGTTGTAATCGAAAATAAATATTAAGAGAATTTTTTTAAAAGAGTAGACAAAATCATCGATGATTTGATTTTTCTTCTATGATTGGACTATATAGTAATGTATTATCTATTCAAAAAAAAAATAACTGGACCGCACATATATTTATCTTTACATACATGAATTCAATCAAAAATGGAATGTTGCCCTGACTCAATGATAGTCATCAATATATATATATATAGACAGGCATGAAGAATAGTTAACCAACTGCATTCTTCTTTTATGATCGCCACAACAAACCGTGCGTAGTGAAGAAAGATACCGGTGATACGATCGTCACAAAACATACACATAATGATTCCTATCTCTTTTTCTTTCTCTAGATGTGTGATGCTCATGGGCTTGATTTGAATGGAATAGAATTCCCAAAACAAATCAGTGTCGCACCAATGACCAACTGAAGGTCTTTTTTAAAATCGGCTTTCCGGATACGTATTGCATAATTGTATGTTGTGTATGTCTCTAATCACTTAACACACTTGTTCGTCTTTCTTTTCTTTTTCTCTTGTCTTCTATCATCATTTCTGATTATCGATCACTAGAGATCACACTCATTTTAACATTGTTTAATTGCTATTCGCCTTCCTCTTGTCCTATTCTATTTTAGATGCCATCAAACAATATTCAAACGTCCCTCTTGTATGTTTATCGAAACCATCAGTCAATGTCGCATTCAATTGACGCGCATCGAGATGGTTGATGATCTGAGAGCAATTTATCGGCAAATATTGAACAACTAAGAAAATGCAATTGTTCTCGTTCTCGCATCGAATTGAAGATAGCAATAGTATGTGTGTTTGTGTGTGTGTTTGGAGGTAGAAAAGAATAAAAAAAAAGAAGACGAGCAGTTGTCTCTCTTTTCTTTTGCTGAACGCGTATATAGGACCAAACTGATAGTCGCCATCGCTGACTTGTGCGTGCACACACATTTATATACATAAAGTCGTGTTATGAAGACAATGAAGTGAGTAGACCTACACTAGAACATAGTATAAGTGAGCGAGAACAATTGTTACGCACGAGAGTACAACTGTGATGAAGAACTACATTGTCATCAGAACGACACATTTTTCATCATCTCTTGTTCGCACATCGCTTTGCAGCTCGCACAAATACTTGAGTTCTGGAATGCGACATACTTCTTCATTAATACGATCGTATTATTACGTGTCTTTCTATTTGTTTTCTCTCTATTTGTCTTATTCTGCTCTTTATTTATCTACAGTTAGATGATAATGTGGGTAACTAATTATTCTTAGACAGACCGTTTCATTCTCGTCTTTTTGACGAATGGATTGGTGTTTGTGTTATTATTTTCTTACTATTATATTTTACGTTACAATAATTGCTGATATTGGTCATATTCGTACAATTGATGTTCAACAAGATGAACGTATTCGACTTGAATGTACAGTGACATCGAAATTAGATGCTGAAGAGGTATGTGTTGAATATCATTTTTTCTCGCTTAAATGACTTTACTTATACCGGAGGTGAATCAATTTTCTAGACATTTACTCATACTGATTATCAATGCTTGAATGCATTGATGTCCTTTCTATCTATTTATCTGTCTTTTTAAGGCTATGTGGATGCGCATTCGACCACCACACAATCCTGATATATTAACTTATCGAGATAGTGTTGTCTATGCACCAGATCGTATACAACTTGAACAACGTCGTCTTAGTTCAAGTATTAATGCTAATGGTACATTTATTGATACATATTTTTTAACATTAACTATTTTACGACCAAATATTGATGATGAAGGACGATATATTTGTTCAAGAGGAAGAAATATTTTTGCTGAATATGATCTTTTTATTATTGGTAAATAGAATAAAATACACAAAAAAAGAAAAAGATTATTGATTAGATTTTCTTTTTCTTTTTTGCTTAATATAGTTCCACCTCAATTTGTTGATGATAATAGTTTTATTCAACAACGAACTATTATCGAAGGTTCAACTCTTCAACTTTCTTGTTCAGCATATGGTCGACCAAAACCTTCAATTACTTGGTTTTATCGTACAAATGATAGAAGAAATGTTCCATGTAAATAGACAAAAAAAATATTTTTTGAATGAAAGAGGTGTAAATTGAAGACGACTACGTGTCTTAGGTTGATTTCCGTTGTTGTCGAACATGAGAAAAAACTTGACATGTCAATGTCGTATCCTTAACATGTCTTCCAACATTTCCCGCGTTCAAGTTGACCGATCCTTTCTTTCTTTCTTTTTATTTACGTAATCTTCAACTGATTTAAGAAACACAAAAAAACGAACAAATGCGCGTGTGTTTTTCACAGATTGTACTACATAGTATCTTTATTGATTTAATCTGTCAGATAAAGATTGATTAAAACTATATGATGACAACAGATTATGTCAATGACATCGACAAAATGATGTAGTTTGTTTTTTTTTCTGTTCTAGTTGGCGATGGTACAAGTTGTCAAGATACAATATGTGAATTACGTTTAGGAAATTATTCACGACATGACCCAACAATGATTGAATGTGTTGCTGATAATGAAAAATCAACGCGTATATCAAAAATTTTTAACGTTGATGTTTATTGTAAGTTTAATAGAATAAACTTTAAAAATATGTTTTAGAAAAGAAATTGGTTTTTTTTGTTTTATCAGATCCACCAAAACTAACAACAAATATTCGAACATTTACAGGTTCAAATAGTATTGATGTTCTTCTTCATTGTACATCTGTATCAAATCCACCAGCACCAATCACTTGGCTTGATAATAATAAACAACAGATAATAAATAATTCTACTATATATGATATAAAAACAATAGATCAATCTTCAACGCTATCTTTTTCTGTCGTATGTTATTATATTTAACAATGAAAAAAGAAAGAAATCTCAACTTCTTCTTCCTTTAGTATCCACAAAAACAATCATCATTTGTTTTTTATTGTCAAAGTAATAATTCTATTGGAATAGATGAAAAATCAGTTAACATTTCAAGTATAAAAATAATTTTTTATACACTGTTTAAGTATGTTTGACTATTTATTTAGATTTTATCCAGTTGGATTCAATAATTATTCGTGAAACAACAACAACAACAACAATAACAACAATAACAACAATTGCATTGCCAACATCGACCATTATTTATGATTTATCTCCAACTAGAAAACAAAAAACTTGTAAAATTCTTTTTTTTAAACTCTTCATTTTTTATTTCTTATATTATTTCTTTATTAGTAAGACCAAGTCGTGCTCGATCTAGACCCGTAACAATAACAACAACTATGCTAACTGGGACGGCAACAATATCATCATCAAATACTCTAATATATTCTTCTCCAAATAATCTTTTTTATTTAATTTTAAGTCTACTCGTCATTTGTTTTGTATAATGTTTTCTTTGTTTTTAATCTTCGTATTTAATATGTATTTGGTAACTCTTGCAATAATTGAATCATATATAAAAAATAAAGAACAACAACAACAAAAAAACACGAAACAAAAACACAACTAGAAAATTTTTGCATAAAAAAGAAAAAGACAACGAATAAAATGTTCTATTGCACTGTTTCTTTTTTTTTTCTTTTCTTAATTTGACTATTGAATTAAACTAAAGAATATTGTTCTTGTTGATGATGTCTATGTGATTCCTTATTTGAATGATGGGATGTTGTTCCTCTAGAGAAGAAAAATTTCATTTTCAAATGAAATTATAAGAAAAATTATTTATTAAAATTAAAACCTTAAAAAAGCAAAATGTTGATCATATGTGGCATATAAATGTTTTTCTGGATCATCATTAGCATGTGCCGATGATGGACGATCAAAAGTAAATCCATGTAAATGACATCTATAAAGTTTCTATATAAATTTCAAAAAATTCTGATTATCAATATTACTTTCGAAATGAATGTTTAGTTATGGGACTTTGAGTAAAAGATGAATGGACACCGGAATCCGCAGATGATGAACTTTGATCAGCAAGTATATGATTATTATTATTAGAAGATTTTTTTGTATTAAATGTTATATGTTTAGATGGTGGAACATATGTAAATGCAGAAAAAAGTTCACCTTGAGAAGATGATATCGTTGAAAGAACACTTGATGAAGGTTGAGCAGGATTTGATAATAAATATGTTGGAGGGATCTGTACAAGTGGATTACGTTTTAAAGATTCTTGATTATTCAGTGATGATGATTCAAGAATTATTGGACGAAAGTATCGTTCTGAAGAAGTTGTAGATGGACGATGATCTATTACAAAAACAGAATATTTTATCCTTTACCTACTACAACAGTTATCGAAGACCCATTGATAAAATAATTTTTATACATAAAGTATTCGTCTGTCTATGATGCTCATGATGTGGTTCAAACCACATAGTGCCTATACCTTTATATAAATATGTTTGATTGGTCTAATGACTGTGTGTTAGAGAAAACGGATTTAACGACATATTATGCCTTGATTTTCGTTTTTCTTTATGATCATATTATGAAATGAGCAAAAGCAAAATCAATTTCATGTTATTGCAGTAATAGAAAAAAAAGGAAGAAGCGACCCGATAAGAATTAATTTCAAAAGAATACATCTGTTTTTGATAAGCATATACTTTAGTTTGAACCATCTTATTACTTTTGAAGATATTTCATTCACAATAAATACTATTTCAACTTCTCAGCAGTTGAGATTTCTTATATTTATATTAGCTTCGTTATTGATTGCTCAATAATGGCTTCATAGTTAATTGTATATCTTAATATGTATGATTTGTTGGGTTATCGTGCAACCTTCGAAACATATCTAACTCACTAATGAATTTATTCATCGGTTTAAATGGTACAGAAATTCCGTAAGATCTCTACTTTGATATTCTAAAGATAGATTAATGAAAAGGAGATATTTTGTTTACTACTTAATAGTTAATGAAGTTCAGCATAAAAAGTGTTTCAATCATTTTCAAATTCCATGCTTTCTTTATTTTCTACAATCGTTCTGCAAACGATCGATCCAGTGACCAACAGAGAGGAAGTCTACATTAATAACAACATCTTTTTTTTCTGTCGACTTCTCGGTAATTCTTTGCATTTCTTAATATGATGTAGAGATTCCCTTGGCAAAGGGTCATCGTTAATAAGCTGTCCTAACATATCTGACTAAGTATACTGGTTTTTCTGATCATCTCATCAGATAGTCGTCATACTCAATGTCATCGTTAGAGAGCATCTCGTTTGTAAATCAATATTCATTTCTTTCATAACTCTGCGAATAAGAACAGTTAATTAAGTCGCTATTGACTTATTATAACTACTATGCATAAGCAAATTTTCAAATCAGTAAAATATAAGAAAATCAAGACACAACACAGATGTTAGGGATGTATAAAATACGTCTACATTTCTGTTTTTTGATAATTGTCGTCTTTTAATATCGAGTTAATTGTAGTGGATCATAACTTCTATATGGCAATAACCTTAATATATAATAAATGTCTTTTATTGAATAGAGCGAAAAACTAAAATGTTGACCTAAATTTGAGACCAAAAGAATATCAAATGTTAGTGAATGGTTATTGGAAATTGAAAATTTTATTTATATCTTTGCTCTAAGGAGAAACAAATATAAAGAGAGAACAGACTGTTCAATATGATATTTATTGTATCAATTTATTTCTTTTATTTTTTATGTGAAAAATAAAATAAGATCGTTCATACAATAAAAAATGATTAGGTTGTATTCGACGGATCTATACAAGACTTATTCAGAGCTTGATAAAAAAAAAAATTTACGATAACCGACCAAAAGTACTCAGTTTATGAAGACTTTCAGTTTTTTTTTACAACTTATAAGCTCTTAGTTACGACTGCTTGTTGGTTGCACACGATGACTTTTTTCAACAATTAATCAATTCAACTTTTTTAATCAGAGATAAATCAACACGTTTTGACATGATTTTAGATGAGTAGCTATTAACACAAAAACAACAAGCCATCACACCAAGTACTGCTGCTGTTGTCTGATAATGTTTTTTTCATTCTTTCAAACATTCACGGCTAATTCATCTCCTTTTCCTGTGTCCTATGATTGTTTATCATAACACAATGTACATAACATTATCTTTTTATTGCTCTGCACATGAATGATAGAACATATGTTGCTGTTAGGGCCAAAAATAAGCGCCCATTTCTCAAAATAAAGAAGTGCTTACATAGAGATGTTATACTACTCGTCTGTTAAATAGTTGAAATAATTTTCATCAGAAACAAAAAAAAAAGAATTCTATTTGTGATAAGAAGAATTGTTAATCTCATTTGGCGTCTCAACTGAATATGATTTACAGTTAGAATATACGTCAATATGTTTGTAGAATTAGTATCATACATTCAGAAAAGTACATATTTTATAAATTTAAAATATTTTACTTTATGTAAATTATTTTTTATTATGTCAAATCTTTTCAAGTTGAATCCTAGAACTGTTAATAAAATAATCACATCAACAGAGTATTTATCTCATTGATATACTAATGATAGGGATAGATGAGTTGTCAAATGAGCTATTTTCAATCCTTACCAATTGAACATCTCTCGAACACATCATGTTATAAGACTGAAGATTTTGTTAAGGTCTTTCCATTATAGCCCGAACATATCCTGAAAATTTCATATAATTTGAATGTAAGTCAGTCATAGTCTATTCTTGAATCCAGGAAGGAGACAGTGGAAGAAACGGAGCTTGATGGAAGCAAATCTTCATACCTGATGCATCTATAAGGCAATGTGTATGATTATTTTCTCTCCATAATGACCCAAGATCAATTTGATCAGTACCATTTAATGTAAAACCAGTAACTGCATAAGGATTGATATTTCCTTGAGAATCCTCTATTTAAAAAAAATTAAATAAAACAATTCATCAACAGTTAAAATTAATAATTTTCGAATATACCGGATGCATAACTATACGGTCGATTTGAATTTTCATTGTGGTTATTTGTATAATTTTCTATTGTAAATTCATTATTACTTTTTAACCATGTACTATGATACCGATGAGGATAGGATGAATACATAACTGGTTTTAATTTTCTTGTTTGTTCAAGAAATAAATCTAAGAATAAAATAAAATATATCATGATAAAAATTTTCAAAAAAAAAATTAATTTATATTTACTAGGTTTTTTTAATTTAAATCGACAAAATTTCATTAAAATAAAAATACTTATTGATATTATAATCATAAATATAAGTGAAATAGTCATAATAATAATAATAGTATATGAATTTTTAGTTTTTAAATTCATGTTTTGATTATTATTAGTTGTACGAAATAAAATTATTTTTATTATTTCACCTGATTGACTATTGATTTTAATATGTAATTGATAGTCTTGATTAGATTGTAAATTATTTATACGAAAACTTTTAAAATTATTTTTAAATGAATAATATCGATGAAGTTTATTATTATTATTATTATTGTTATTATTATTATTATTATTATTCGTCACATTTATTACAGGAAATAATTCAATATCATAAGATAATATTAAACATTGATTTATTATCCAATTCGACATATTAAGAATTATAAAATTATTTGATATAGTTTCAATTAAATCTTTTGATTGAATTAATAAAGGAGCTTTAAGAAAAAGTAAAGATTTCAATAAAACAAACAAAGAAATCGAATAATAATTAAAAATTTTACCTGAACCATCAGTTTTTCCAATTAAGTATTCATTTAAACTAAATCCAACTTGATTTTTTGCATAGATCATTATATCGTATATATTTCCACAAGAAAGATTTCTTAAACGAACATTTAATAATGGCGGAGATATATGAATTTCATTATTAATTGGATATTGTTTTGTTTTATATGTTATTATTAAACTTTCAATTATATCTGATGGGTAAGTTAATTTTATACCGATTTCATTTGATGTTGCATAATGAATTTTTGCTTCAATACGTGATGGTTTATCTAAAATAAAGCTTTTCATTTTTTTTTGGGTAAGATTTAAAGAGAGAAATCCTGTACCATATAATTGAATATTGTATTGTTGTGATCCACATTGATATTGACCAGTGATTTCGGCTAGTTTTGAATGAGGAATATAAAGAGAATTATTATTTAAGATATATTGATAAATTGATTTTTCTCTAGATATACAATTAAAAATATGATCAAGTATTGAAAAAATGAATACGATCTTTTTATTCTACTTATGTAGCCAAGAATTTGTTAATGGACAATCGAGTAAAAGTGGCTTGTTTATTGGATGTGAAATAGTGATCGGCATATCGAAATCTTAAATAGAAAAAATAAAGACACCCTTGAAGACGTAATTACGTTTAAGAAGACGAAGAGAATTTTGGAAATTCTGCTAGGATATTTTTATTTATATCGATGTCAAAAAATTTTAAAAGTAATTTAGAGTATGATAATCTTGACAGTGTAGGTCGTCTATTTAGCCGCACCCTTGTAATACGAATGGCGTGTGTGCTACTATAGATCATACAGCTTGATAAGAGTTATGCCCAAATCAGTTAGGAGTTGATTTGAAACCAAACGTATATATATACGTCTTCCATTCACAACAAGTTAAAACTTTCTTTATGAGATTATCTGATATTAATATGTGTTGATATGACCATAAGAGAGTTAATTATTGATTTCTTTTATCACGACAAGAGTCCATCAAGTTCAACATTTTTCGATCGAATCCGAACCATATTTCTAATTACATTGAAATTTTTTAGTTAGCTAAAGGTAGTTCCTTCACTGATGAACTGCTTTTGAGTCGAGATTCTGTGCATTATGTAGAAGTCAATGAGCTATGAATGCCCTGAAAGAATTCAGATCCAAGCTTATTGCAGCTGAATTACTGCACTCTATGGTAAGTTTTAAATGAATGCCGTGGGTTTCTCAGGACAAGTGATTTTCAAATTTCAATTTGAAACTTTGCAGAGAGACAACTCTGAATGAAAATTGATTTATTATGAATATTTCAGGTCTTGTTCACAATAAACTACTCTCAATATTGCTTATTTATGCATTAAGTTTCGAGTCAAATTTTCAAATTCAATTTTCGTGAGAAGGACTGCAATAGTCATTTGAAAATTACCGTAAAAGTGCAGTATTCATGCAGTAATTTGCATAGAGTTCAATTTCTTTTCAGGATATTTCAAACTAATTTGAATCTACCGGATGCACATACTGCCAGCTGAAAAGCAATTAATCAGTTGAAGGACTTCATTTGTGAATCTAAGAGTCACTCGAAAGTTTGCTATTAATATACTCTATACGTCTCTCAGACAATCTTGACGATGATCTTATAATAATCAAATCATAATTGTTTTTTATTTGGCGAGTATGGTCTATTGAGCCAACTCCAATATCAACCCGACGGGCATGAATGATGACAGACATACAATTGATCAATCACATCATTATTTGTATGACTTGTTCTTGAGCTCACAAGAGAAATTATACTATTGAAAATCAATTCTATAATGCTGATATTGACTTAGCTGAATATGTTTTCCCTATTGCTGATTGGTAAAACGTTAAAATATTTATATGTACGACAGAAAAAGATTTTATGAATTTTTGGTCTAAAGATTCAATATTCCTTGAAAATGAATAGGAAATATTGCGACCTTTGATTAAATGTTTGAAATGTTTCTTTCTTGAAAAATTTATTTTTAAGAGCTTACTTGATAATGGTGTTTCAATATTGATAGCTAATGATGATGGACCACAATCAAAAGAATTACAAATCGTAACTGATATATAATATTCTGTTGACAAATGAAGATTATTAAGTGTAAGAGTTGAATTTATTGTTTCAATTGTTCTTAATGTTGACATATCTAAAGTAAAATTATATTTCATGAGATATATTTTATTTTTTGAATTCTTACTGAAATTTTCATAAATAGTAACTGCAAATGCTCGAAATTTTCCATTAAGAAGTTGAAAATCATGATTTTCAAATATCCATGTAACATGAATAGATGAAGTATTTAATAATGTTGCTGTTAAATCTGTTATTATAGCAAGAGGAGCTGAAATAAAAAACATTATCATATTTAGTTTTATTTAATCAATATTAAACTTACCACTTTCTAATGTTTGTATAGTGAATGGTTTTGATTTAGGACTAGCTCCTAATTCATTTATTGCATAAATAAGAAATGTATATTGAGTAAAGCTTTTTAAATTATTAATAGTAAATACTGTTGAATCATGTTTATAAGTTTGAATAATGCTTTGATTATATTCATCAATTATTTCGATCACATATTCAATAAGTGAATCATGACATAATTGAAATGATGGATACTAAAATAAATTACTTAACTCTACATTAAATCATATCATAATCTGTACTATTAACTCTTCCTCCGCTCTTGGTCATTGAAGTGACCATTTAAGACATATATCACGTAATCAACTCCTTAAACTCTGAATTGATAAGAAAATATTTTATTCTATATTACTTCATCTTCAAAAAAGGATGAGTTAAAAGATTGATAAGTTTGAGAAAACTGCTAAAGTTGGATTTTTTAAATAAAATATTTCTGTACCAACAAACAAGCTATATAGCAATGAAAATGTTTACAAATGGCATCAATTACATTCGAATGTTTCAAAAAATCTTGGTAGAAAAGAGCATAAAACTTCTTCCTATGACATGACATAGTAGGGCGTATCATTCTTTACAAAATGAGACGTTCTCGAGTTCAGTGTTTTATTCAAACAAGAGGGCCAAGGAAGCGACACTTCTTCAAAATCGAATTAACGTTCTCATAGTTATAACTCGCCCCTTGAGAAGCCTAAATCTGGAGAAATCATTGTATGAGCTATCTAACGCATTTTTCTGTCCAACGATATTAAATTCTATTGCAGGATATCATGAGGATTATATAAAACAGTTTCGTTCTGAAATTCTTTCCAACAATAGTTGTCACAGGATCCTAAGAGGTTCAGCTCAAACGAATGATTGCTTCATAAGATGTCGTATATTTAAAAAGTGAGCTATTTTTGAAGCTCTTGTGTGAAATTAATATTTGTTTGCACATGTGTTATGCTAGAAGGGAAACATCTGTTCGAGTTGCAACTTTCAGGATACCATAAGAGCTCTTGTTGGGAAGAGTTTTCAATCGAAACTTGTCGTTTCAAATTTTCTCATGATGTCCTGTAATAGACTATAAATTCAGTAAAATGACCATAACATCAGAAGAAAGGCCTAATGGCACCAACCCTTTTAGGATTTTTATCTGTACTATGAGTCCTATCAATTGTTCCTCGAGCGACCAAAATACTGTCACCAATGACTCTACACCTGATCGATTTTTCCATGCTATCAATATATCGGAGATACCAATATTCTATGCCACTGATTATGCTTCATCAATGGCTTCTATCAAATCGCTATGGAGCGATGAAGGTTTAACATTTTAATATCTACAATAACTTAAGACATCGTAAAAAGAACACCAATATTGAATCTACTTCATTTTTATTACAGTTAATTACGATTATTCTTGATAAATATAATTGTAAGGAAAAAAAAACAATTGATCTTTACACACCTGCCATGTTAACATTACACTTTTTGATGAGATATTGATTGCAGTAAGATTATAAGGAGCAATAAGTAGCTCTAAATTACAGAAGATATAAACAATGAATGTTTATCATATGATTATTTACGTTTGATATTTGTTTGAAACTGAAGATTACTAGATAATGATGAACCAATTATATTAATTGCTTCAATTGTTATTGATATCATACACTTATAATAAAGGTTTTCAAATGAATAACTTGTTATATTACTATCATTAATTGTAATTATCGTTTCATTTGACCAAGATGTTCCTTAATTAAATTAAAAAAAAACGATTACCTTCAACAGATCACTTATAAATAATTTTACCTTGTTTATATCGAATATGAAGAATATATTTTAAAATGTTTGCATTTCCATCAAATGGTTTATTCCAAATAATTTGATTTGAATTATCAATAAAAATATTTTCTATTTTATTTGGTACATTTTGTACAATTATTTCAAATGTTGAACGATCTTCTGAATAATTATTTTTTGCATAACATTCATATAAACCACTATCAGACATTTGAATATTTTCTATAGTTAATGATAAATTTCTTTTATAATTATAATTTGTTTCAAATATATTTAATTTTTTTGATAAAGGATTTTTTAATTTTAATTCAAATTGATTATCACCTTCAGCTAAACAGTAAATATTTAATGTTTCATTTATTTTTACAATTTTATTTGATGTCAGTGATAAAATTTTCGATGGAATTTGTATTTTAACATAAACTTTTATGAAATTATCACCATAGAGGTTTTTTGCTTGACACATATACATATTTGATTGTGTATTTATTGATGTTAATAGAATAGGTGATGTTAATGATGTATTAATTATTTGTTTTGTTCTATCATCGATCCATTTCAATTCAAGATTTGGTTGACCAGAGGCATAACAAGCAAGTGTAAATTTTTTACCAGTTACAATAGTTAAATTTGATATCGGTTTAATAAATGGTTTTTCTCCTTCGATATTTATATGTTTAGAAAATGAAATTGATCCAAAAGGATTCTTCATTCGATATTCATATAGGCCTGTATCATTTAGATTCGATATAATAATACGATAATGAGTAAATATATCTCCTGATGGTAAATAATCAATTTGATTATTTGATATTAATTGTTGACCGTCTTTATATAAATCTATAATTGGTATTGGATCAGCATAAATAGTTAAATTAAGATCAATTGAAACACGTGAAATATCTTTTGATGAAATTATAATAATATTTGAATTTGTCTGTTGATCGGAAAGGATAAAAGGCGGTGAATCTAAATATATATATAGACAAAGTTTGTTTAGAAGAAAAATTCTACCAGATGAACATGTGTTGAAAGAATATTACTTCCGGTAATGGGATAGAATGTATACGTGCTAATGAACATTTTTTGTTTATCTTAACTGTCATTGAGAGAAGAAAAGCAAAACTTACTGATGACACGAAGTTGAGTTTGTGCACAACAAGCATTTAAATCTGAAGAACTTATGATGTAACAACATTGATACATTCCCATATGTTCTCGTGTTAGATTATGTATTAAATATCGGTCATTGTTTGCTGATATTCGATTAGAATTATGAAACCATTGCCATTGAATAGCATTCGACTTTATTAAGTTATTTGTACAAATTAACTCAGCTTTTGATCCAGCATTAAAATTGGCTTCTTGAACAGACATTTTACATTGAACTGGAACTAGAAAAAAAAAGAAATAATAATTCAATTATTAAAAAAAAACAAAAGAGTTCAACTTACCATTAACTCTCAACAACATAGAAGATATCATACGTCCACTTGATTCATCATCAATACGACATGCATAATTGCCTGATTCATTTAAAGATGTATGTGAAAGTTGAAGAATTAAAGAATTATTATAAAGTTTTTCCGAAATATTGTCAATTTCTATGCCATTTTTCCACCAAGATATCCGTGCATGTGTTGATATAGATGATATACCACAAGGTAATTCAATAAGATCACCAGCTTGGGCTCGATATTCTGTATTATTTGGTATTGATAATTCCGGTCCAAATGGCGAACGATCTACATAGATCATATAATTATCGAAAAACATATAATCTTTTCAAATTAATTCTTACCTCGAACACGTAATGATTTAAATCGACTATATCTTGTATCATTATCAATTTCATTATTAGCAATACAAGCATAAGTTCGATTATCATCTGAATCTGTTATATTATGTATAATTAAATTTTTATTTGATAATAAGTTATATTTTGTTTTTGGCCCTAAGATGAATTTCAACTATGAGATTTTCTTTTCGTTTCTTTTTCATTTCATACACTTACGTAAATCAAGTTGAATGATTTGATTATTTACTTTTTCTAACCAACCTATTACATGTACATAAGAACTAGCTGATGGTGGTGATATTTCACATGATAAAATAGCTGATGATTGTTTATATCCATATGTATATTTAACTTCAATTTCATATGTATCATAGATTTCTAAAGAAAAGAAAACAAGCACCATACAATAGCGGATATTATTTTAATTTCATTTCATTGCTTTAATCCATCATAACACTTTCATTGTCCGACAGGTCAATACTGACGCAATTATATTAAGTTAATGCATCAAGACAGAATTAAATTAGAAAAGTTTTGCGTGCTATCTCACAAGAAAACAATTAGTTGACGCTTGAATGGATTATTGTGACTTATATATATATATATATATATACATATAGAACGGGACACAGATTGAATCATCTGCGCACGCTCGTTCACAAATTTCTAATTACATATTTCACTATGTGTATATTGAAGATTGTTCTTAATAGAAATAACAATTGAATCTCATTTTTTATTTGCCTATAGATTCTGTTATTCGACTTCAGTTCATTCTGCCACTCGAATTCAATAATTGTATGTTGATTTAAGATTTTTTTTTTTTTATTTTCAAGAGTGTGCGATCGATAACACCAGCAGGGCACACATACACTTTGAAAGTAACTGGACCATACCCAACCTATCATCATCATCATCCGCCAGACAAAAAAAAATAGAAAAATGACCGCTAGTATGTCTTACGTGAACTATTACAGACATATATATATGTATAGAGAGAGAGAGAGGGAGGGAGAGATGTCGAGTCATCTGGTTTTTTAGTCGGACATTGTCAATAAATATTTGGACATCACGCGTGTGCATGCAAAGGCACGTCGACCAGTCACACAATGATGTTACTTTCGTTCTAAACTGATTAGCAAGGATCATCTATTTACTTGAAACATTTGTACGTCACAAACAATTTACTAATTTATACGACACGCACATTCTAATCTAAACATTGAATTCACAAAAAAAAAGACAACTCATCTATGATATATTTTTTTGTCCTTTTTTTTCTGTTTCAAATTAATATACTATATTGAAATCAATTTGATATTGTACAAAATATATATGTATATTTGAACACAGTAGGAGTTCTGATATCAAACTATGTTCTCACTACTAATGCATAAGCACGCCTGTGTCTATATGTATTGTTCATTTAATTGAGTACACAGGGGAGAAATTGAACGAGAGAGAGAGGAAAATTTGCACAAGTGATAATCACCCGTATATACACATACACATATGCTCATTCGTTAGTACTTGTCAAGAAGTCATTCTGCACACATACTTATGTTCATCTTGATTTCCGCCTAGTGATGAAGAGAAGATAATCTACTGTGGAGCGATTTATTAGCAGAATGTGTCAGTCTAATCTTACTGTCGTTGTCTCTCTCTCTCTGCGAGTGCTAAAGTGGTAGTATTCAGGATCAGCCATATGGTTGTCTCGTGTACACGACGAAATAAATAATAATGATATTGACATTTCCTTTCAAATAGACAAGCATATACTATGAACTAGACTTGATCAAATTACAATAGGGCGGGAGGTGAAATTTCAAGAATGTATGTGTCTTTTGTTTTGCTAAGAGCATATCTTAGTAGTTTAATAGTACAAAAGTAAATTCATCACTGTTGAACTTTCGATTTAAATTCTCTTTTTTTTCTTGGTCTCATAATACTTACGTGGTTTAAGTTGAACTGGTGTTGTTTGTATACTACCGGCTGGATTTTCTGCTCGACAAATGTATTTACCAGCATGTATAGATTTTGAATAATCTCGAAATGGTCGAATGAATAAACTACCATTTTCATAGACATCACTAAAAGCCAAAAACAAAAAGAAAAGAAAATATTACATTAAATATAATTATGGTGTGTTTTGTTTTTTGTTTTGTTAAATGATTATCATCGTCATCAATGTTGATTAGTCTATTTGACAGGTGTCGAATAATGATTAAAAACGAATTTCCGTTGCGCTCTATCGCGAATATATATAAATATGCCTTTGAGTTTGCCGCCTTGTAATACGCAGCTGATGCCCGTAAAATGATCAATGACTAACAACTGAAAAGAAGACAATAAGCATGATAAGATGTCTCACATGAGTTCAGAAGATTGGACAAATGTTGACGGTCGATCATCACTACCGTTCGTCCGAAACCAAGTTAACACTGGTGATGGAGTACCAATAGCGGTACAATCAAGTCTTGTGCCTAAATTATTATAATAAAGTTTTTGTTTCGTTGTTATTATTGACACAAAACTCGGTCCAATAGGATGATGAATTGTTACAACACCTAAACGAATAAAACAAATAAATAAACAGAATCGTTCTTTCTCCGTATTCTTTATGTAACATTATTTAATCAAAGCTCATACTTGAGTAATTATGCACTTTTTCCCCTTTTCTATCATACAGCTGTTCCCTGACTCACAGTTAGTCCATTGGGATTTTTTTTTAGTTTTTTAACATGTGCGCATATGTATGTAGATGAAAAGAGTTAGATAATCGAGAACGTCAGAGAAAAGATTCATCTACATGTTTAAATAGAGAAAGAAAATGATGCATTCAGGCATAACATAGACTTCATATGAACAAGTTTCTAGTTAGAATATGGCCTTGTCATTTTTTTCCATCATTTAAACATGCATTCGTTATATTTGTTAGACATATTTTGCTATTTCAGCTGGTAACATTCACTCGATAACAATGCTTGCACACGTTAATGATGCAATCTGTACTATACATATACATTCTCATCAATACAATATGCCAATGTTCTTTTACCGAATAAATATGACAAATTATTCTATTAAATAAGTCAAATAAACGACAAAGATTTTACCTTGTTGATAAAGGACAAGACAAAGTAGAATATAAATGATTATCTTCATTTTCATCTTGAATCATGAAAAATTATCACCATCACATTGACGGATAACATCATATAACTTGACATATAAGACACTTGTCGATACTGAATCACTATCTATATCAATCGTACAATGTGTATCAAATGTATGAGAGAAAGAGTGAGGTGAGAATGAACGAACTAAAAAGAAAAAAAAAGAGAGAAAAAGAAATAAATATGAACACTGGTTGTGCTGTTAGAATAACAAATATAAGGCTACACAGGAGAGTATGATGGTAGTAGTGGTAGGGAACTGCAAAATGACTTTTTTTTGGTCCCGGTCCCGGTCTGGTCCCGCTAAAACGTTTTTGGTCCCGGTCCCGGTCCCGGTTAAAGTTTTTTTCTGGTCCCGGTCCCGTCCCGGTCCCGGTCACAATTTTATATTGGTCCCGGTCCCGGTCCCGGTTCTATTGAAAATTTTACATTGGCTTTGGGACCCATCCTATAGATGTGGTATGGTTTCTAAAATTCAACAACCTACTGTTTAATAACATACATGACTGATTTTAAAGGGTTTTATTTAGAGATTTCCTCTGACTGTATCCAATGCAGAGCCTGTTGGACTAGAATTTCAATTGTTCGACTCACTGATGGAACATTTTTGCAAGATTAGACCTAAGTTTTATATTAATTTCTCTATTCTGTACAAGTATCGAAGTATTGTTTTGAATACAAATGATAGAACAACAAAACTAAAGAATCATTATTAGGTTGTAGCTATAAAATGCCAAAAAATATAGTAAAGATATGCTGAAAACCCTATCAAACCAAACGTATGTATTTTTATTTCAAATACTATAAAACTCGCACAAAATATCGAAAGATTCAGATGATTTGACATCGTATTGGGCTCAATAAAGGAATTTTACCGAAAATGTTGATAAAAATAATTGGTTGTGGAGATTCTTAGCCCACATAAAACAAAAAATATAACAAATGATAACCGAATTTTTGATAAAAAAAATAATGGCCGGGACCAGATGGAAATTTTAGTCCCGTCCCGGTCCCGGTAAAAGATAAAATTTCGGTCCCGGTCCCGTCCCGGTCCCGATAAAAAATAAAATTTTGGTCCCAGTCCCGTCGCGGTCCCGGCGGGACCGGGACCGGGACCGGGACCGGGACCACTTTGCAGTTCCCTAAGTAGTGGTCGTCTTACTAGTATAGTACACTGATTGTCCCTCTTGCGTGCTCTCTCTCTCTCGCTTATTCTCTGAGTCTACACAAGACAAATAAACTTTATAATATAAGAAAAGAAATAAAGAAGGGAGGGAAGAAGAAAAGTTGTGGCTGCTACAATACAGACCGAAAGTCAAATCATCTCTTCGTCCCTAATTAGAGACGATCGAGAAATGAGAAAGACAAAGAGAAGAAGAGAGTAGAGACGAGAAGAAAAAACTTATGAGAATAAGAACAACAAGAAGAAGAAAAAAAAAGAAGACAGAAAAGAATAATCCATCTTCTCATAGTTGCACTATGAATACGAGACAACGAAAGCAAATGCAGTTCAGGGCCAACAAACGTTATTGCGACATCCCATTAATTCGACATTTGCCTGTCGTTATCTATCGGATTTCTTCCAAATATATAAATATATATGTATTTGTGAATGACAACTTGTTCACTGCGTAACCAGCTCCATTAACTATTGTATTAGAGACTGACAAGCGACTGTTGCTTTACTGATGAGATTGCATAAAATATCGAATGAGAAAATGATGACCACTCGCTTGTCTTCATCATTCTCATTGAGACAGGCCTATCGTTTACTCTTTTATATCTATATGTTTCAAATTTCAAACATGCTGACGACATTTCAATGATAATCGATGAGATGGGATTGATCAATTGAAATGAATTTTTTCTTCATCTTTTTTTAACCTACATGCGATATGAATACTTTACTATTTTTTTTCTTTTTCTCCTTACGGCGAATGACCATCATGTATATATATATATATATGTATGTGCAAGAACAAGAATGCCTAATTGCAGTCATTAGAGTGTTCTTTCTCTTTTACTTTCGTGGTTCCAAATGGTACCATACACTCACACATATACTAAAGCTAAGATAATACCAAGAAGAGGAGTGTATATATATGTGTGTGTATGTGTCGCGTTCTTGAGATTGTGAAGATACGATGAGTATGTTTGGCGGCATGGCATTGTTGTTGACACTATGCATTTATTTGCAATAAGGTTTCTTTTTCTATTGCATGTTGATGATGCTGTTTTACTCTGATTGTTTCCGGCTTCACTTCTCGATCGATGGATTTTTTTTATGGATGTACATGGTGTGAATAGTCGTAGCAAGGTCATATGCATATTGGTAGTCTTTTCATACAATACAAAAAAAGAAAACGAACTAATAGAGATTGAGTATTAAAAATGACAGACGTCTAACTTGAAGTTGATAGTTCAATGACATTAAGAGAGAAAAAGAGACAATGAATAAAGAGGGCGTGTACAATGAATTTGATTTTATCGAGTACAACAATGATTATTGAAATTGTGCACACATATTGTATGCAACACCTTCTGTTACTATAAGTGCTTCTATTAAAAAAAAGGCAGCCAACACACTTAGGTGTCAATCGATGGTATGATTGCCATGGGTCAATGATTACTGTCCATCGAAGGTCACAAAAAACTACAATAAAAAAAATCACATGGCTATACATGTGTGTGTGTGAACAAATTAGGTTATCTGACAGCATAAATAAAATACATGCAAGACGGAAGTTGATTTGCATCAGAGAACACAAGAGGAACAACTCTTGACATTCTGCCGTAGCGGAAATCGATTGGGCGCATCTATGTTAAGCACCTCTGTATGAAGCAAAGGCTAAGAACTAGTACTGATTAAAAATGAGATGCAAGTACTTATTGTCCTCGATAGTCAACGGATGAACAGCACGTTCCACTCATCATCATACTAGCTTAGTGACCTTGTGTCTACTCCCTATAGAGATAGATCAGCTATATTAAAGAACGTGCTACTGTCTTTATACATGCTGACAAGATTATGTCGTTGAACGATGAGTTCTTCTGCTTCTGTAATTATTGTCATTTGTGTCATTTACTGTTAGCGAATATGAAGTATCTTGACAAGACAGTATGTATATGCAAGCTTCTATTTTCGATTATAAACGTCTCTCTATCAAAGTAAATTCAGAATTCATCTGATAAGACTACAAGGGCATCGGCAGCACTAATTTATTATGTATTAGCAATTTGACATGTTTATTTCGTGTCATGGAAATATTTTATTACTTATTTCCCAAAGCTTTATGATAAAATATTTAACATGTACTATAAAACATAGTGTTATAAATATATTCTTCTTTTTTTTCGGTCACTAATTTTACGTATATAGAAACAAACTATTCTTGATCATACTCATGTTCTTCTTGTTAACGTCTACCTACTACTTGAAATATTTTGAATCAATGATCAAACAGCAACCATCATTTTTTATGTAAAGAATCTTGATTAATACTAAATGAACCAAATAGATCAAGTGATTACACAGGAGAATTGATAGAGCTAACATATTATAAATAATAAAACAAATCGTTGTTTAATGTAAACTTATGCCCACGCAAAAAATGTATTTATCTATCAGAATATACAAGAAAAAAAACCTGGAATATTATTATAAAGTAAATGCTATCGATGTAATCATTCATATAGGACAAGTTATAATTGTATACATTGAATCAAAAGCTTCGTTTGTCTTATGCACATACTAGTCATCAGAATATGTACATATCCTTTTGTTTATATAGCTAATAATTGAAGAAAATGATCGAATATTATACTTCTTTTTTTTTCTTTTCTCTATCAAAATCAATTATAACATAAAAATTGAAATGTTCACTTATTCAATTATTAAGTAAAATTATCTCTAATGATAAAATGAACGTAATATGATTTGATTGAGACAGTAGTTAATAGTATTTTGAATAATATTTGTCATGATTTACGATTCTTCAATTAAATTAAATAGAAAGAAAATATTCGAAGGTTATTGAACATTGTGTAAGGCATCGCATTCAATGACATTTTATTTATCGAAATTCTGTTTTCTTTTTTGATTTGTATGATGATTCTCAATCTAGTATGCATTTCAGGACACAAAAATGGTAAGAACGTGAACACATAACTGTATTACTAATCATATTTTATCTTCATAGATTTGATGCGGTCAGTTAAAAAAGAATAAAATTCAAGGCAAGATCAAAATGTATGAAAGGAATACTAAAATAGCACGTAATTCTCAATAGTTCAAACTGACAGAGAGCGAGAGAGAAAAAAAAGTTCAGTCAATTTTGTACATTCTATATTATATCTATTATTTAACTGGTATCTATATTATCTATTTTTAATAAAATGTATACTCATATTTGGGAACTCCATCTTATATAAACATGAGATCAATAAATAAAACCTATTTGACGTATTTTTATTTTTTTTGTCTAGCACTTAAAATTATGAATAATTGAATGAAATTGCAGAGTTATAAACGGCAATCTTTTTCGATTTTAATAAAAAATAAAAATATTTTCTAACATGAATTAATGTCCTGAGCAAAAGTCTTCCGTCTCCCGTCATTCCTTTCGTCTAGAAGCTTTTTAGTCTCGAGTGAATGTTAGTTACAAAGATGCCTTAAGTAATTGATTGTAGTATAGTGTATGATTGATCACATTTTGCTTTAGTGAAGAATATACGTCTTTCAACATAGTTGAGCAACATTACAAATGAGTTGGTTGACAGAATATTTCACGAATGAATTATCTCTTTTTTGTATCCATTAATTATTTTACTAATTTCGATCATAAAACTCTCTTTGTTGCCAACTCGAAGCTTTTCCAAGAAAGACTTATAGGCGATTATACAAATACAGATAAAACAAAACTAGTAAAACATTCAGAAAATATAATAACAAAGAGATAACCCAACTATGAAACACTCTATCAGCCAACTCATTTGTAGTGTTGAGTGATTGTATTAAATGACGTATATTTTTTATTGAGGCAGGTCATTATCAATCATACACTGCACTAAAATATAGTAGTCAAGCCATTTCTGTAACCAAAATTCATTTGATACCGCAGGGTTTCGATCCGAAAAAAATGAGCGGGAAGAAAGACTGTTGCCCACGGGTGTATTTTATTACTAATAAAAATTGTCTTAAATTTTTTTTAAATTGGTTATAATTTACAATTTTATCCGTGTTTAAACACTTGTTGCTTTTTCTTCATCGTTATTATTAATTAAATATGTGACAACATCTGAACCAATATCCCAGAAATTCATGTCTTCATAGATTAATATTTGCTTATATTCTTCTTCAATGTCATTCATTTTGCAACATAAAATACGAACATTCGATCGACATTTGAGAATACACTTATCTGGAAGTTTTTAAATATTTTTCGATTGTTTATTGACAACACATAGTATCATCCATCCTGTCATATATCTTGATCCTTTTCATTCGAACCATCATTTTCGATATCAATGTAATGATCAATATTATTTATTTTGATAATTCTAATAGAACCTATGTAAAAATGAGAATGTGATAAAAACAAAGAAATTCATATTTAATAATACCTTTTGCAAACGCTTGTGTCGAATATTTTTTTTGTTTCATTATGTTTCATAAATAAACATTTTTCAAAATGATCATAAAATAATGTTTTAGCATGAGACAACCATGAAAAATCACTAGACAGATTTCCATTCTAAGTTAATCAAGAAGAAATTTTTGTCATATAAAATAAATTATTGATCTTTACTGAATTTTTAATTGTTTGATCTTGTACAATTTGAATAAATTTAATGAATGAAGTTAAATTATCATTGATCATATTAAGACTAGTTGACATAGAATTTATTTCTGTACGAAGATTATTTAATTTTTGTGTTCATTGAGTAAAATTATTTTTGCAAAAAATTATTGAATTCTCGAGCTGAACGTAATTTTAAACAGATTTTATTCGATGACTTTTTGAGGATCTTTAATATTATCAAGTATTTGATGTAATTTAATTCTTGCTTCTTTAGCTGCTTGTTCAATTTTATAAACAGATTCTTTTTTCGCATTGATTGATTTGATCAAAAAGAATATGTTCATTATCTTTTTGTCTTTGATTTAATAAAACATCATAAAAAATATCATGTTCTCGTTCAATATTATCCATTGGAGAAGCTGATTCTTGACGATTTTCAATAACATGTTTTAAACAAAATGATTGTTGGCAATCATCACATGAAAACACTCCTACATATTTATCACATTTTGCACAAGCTTTTTTCAAACTTACACTAATATGCTTAGTCATTGTAGTTTATTCACTCACTTATCGAGGTCTCGAAAGGTAAACATCATAAATTTTGTTTATCATCATCATTTGACATAAATGCTTCTTTGGTTTATCATGCTTCAATGGAGCGAACATCATACTAAATGTAGTTTTATGTAATCATAAAACATATACTACAAATATACACATGATTATAGAGCTCGAATCAGTTTTTTTTCTAGATGATTACACACTGTATACAAGAGAGTACTTCTACATTTTATACAAAAGTAGCTATAATCAAAAACCATTGTAAATGATCACTTGTACGTAAATTGGTTTTTTTAATATTCAAAGCAAATAATAGATCTCTTGTTAATGCTAAAAATATATTTTTTTTTGCTCGCAAAAGCAGACTATTTCCGTCACTTTTCCTTCAAGTATTTTTCAAGGAAATGTTTCTTAAGTATTAGAAAATGTAAAGATAAATACAGATTTGAAATTTGTGTACTGAAAGAACTTTTTGTTTATATAAAAATTAAAACAATTCCATTGGATCTCTTTCTTTTCATCATTGATATATTCAATTATTCTTCATTCACAGTTTTATTAATTAAGTTCAAAAATTTCATTAGATTCATTGAAAAAGCGATTAAACAATTTAATTTAGCAACACCATTAAGTAGACACCAAAGAGACATTTAAAAAATAGGATCAAAAATGAAAACCAACTTTTTATTGAAATTCTTAATCTATACTGATCCTAGTAAATGATATTATTTTAATTTGTTTTGTTGAAAAAAAAGAAAAGAAAAGAAAAGATTAAAACAATAATTAATTTGTCGCAAATGTAACTTCTTTTGTCAATCGAAATTTATTCGGTGTTCCTATTGGACGTAAAATACTTTTCGGTCGATCATTCAATCCTTGTGTAAATCGTTCATTATTTTCAGCGGATAATATATTTGAATAATGATTAATTAATGATACAACTTGTCTATTTGAATTTAAAGTTGCATTATACCATGGTGAAATTGACTCATGACCGGCCCATGTTCTTTCTCGTCGAATTCCTACAGATGGACTTGTATGTTGTGATTGTGATATTGAATGACTATATCGTCCAGCAGCACTATTTGTTTCTTCTGGGGAAGGATTTGATGCTAACGTTCGATCACGTAATCGTTGTACAAGTTGCATCCAGAGTTGATAAGATAATTTAGGATTATTCTGTTCTTCGGATATGGGACTTGTTGAAAATGATTTTCGATTTTCATTACGTGGTGAAAGTATCGCTGGTGTATAAGTACATTCTTCAAATGATTTGATATGAAGATGATTGCATACAAGCATATTACATTTATATGGAGACTCAACACCATAAAAACATTTATAATTAGGAGCACTAAAATTAAAAATTTTTTAAAAAAAGAATAATAACCGAAATTGAGAATAATAATTCTACTTTTTATCACTCGGTTTTCTTCTAATTGGTAAACTTCGTCTTTGATAATAAAAAGCCCATTCATTTAATTTTGGTTCAACATGTTGTAACCATTGTTCACATGTCAAATGATATTCATCATCAATAGCAAAAGGTGATGCATCTGTGTGATCAAGTAAAAACAATGCATTATTAAAACGAGATGTTTTTATAGCTAATATTAATGGTGTATAACCCATTTCAGTTTTACAATCCATTGAAAGTCCAATTAATTTCATTTCACTAACAATAGCTGCAAGAATTGATGGTTGTGATGATGATGCTGCATGGTGTACAACTAAATAACTTTCATGGTCTGCAAGACGCCAATCAATAGATTTAGTTCGTAAAAACAGTGCAACAAGTTTTGCACGATTTAATAAGCATGCATAAACAAGTGGTGTTTGTTGTTGAGAATCAGTTGCATTTATATCGGCACTTCCTTGCAGAAGAAGACGTGCTACACGATAACCATAACGTTCTTGATCGGAAAGAACGGCTAAATGAAGTGGTGTTCGTCCATATGGATCTTTTTCATTCACATTACAACCAAGTTTATTAATAAGTAAATTTAATTGCGACAAACGACCATCTAAAATCACCTGATGAATAGATGCCATATGTTTGAATGTAACTGTACAACACACTGATGGCAACAACGGTGTACTACTGATAAATGAAGTATTGGCTGTTTTTTTTTGTGTTCACCAAACAGAACGAAACGCATATAGGATTAAAATAATGGAGTGAAAAAAAATAGCATTGTTTATGTATACATCCTTGTAAAAAAAGAAAAAAGTAAAATATGTCTCCCTTGATCTATTGTACTACAATAACTATTTTGAAAAAAGAATATTGAATTAAAAATCGTAATAAAATATATGTATTTTCATTGAATTAATAAACCATACATATGACGAGATTTATCGGCATTGGATAGTGATCATTTATTTACAAGAATTCATTTTTTCTGCAAGGCAATCATGTGCGGATGAATGAACAATTATTAGCTCGGCTAGTTACTATTAACAAATCGTCGAAAGATTTATCTATATATTGCATTTGAATGTATAGATAGTTCGACAAACGAATAATATAGACAATTGAATTTATGAATACTAAATCAGGATATGACGCACATCAATAGTACTGAGAAGGGAGGATAGCATATCAATAATAGCAGCTGTTCGATCAAATAATAACACCTACAAACATCTAAGCATTTTCTTGATGTACTCTTCTACATTTTTTTCTCATGATTATTTCTGTTTAGTCCGAGTTGCTCTTTTTTCTCATAAATATTGCTTGGAGGTTCTTTCATATACCCGACAAACATCATCAAATGACTCGTTTTTTTCCTATCAGAAGAGAAAAAAAAACGCATGTTTCCTTCTTTTTTTTTATTCTCTGTTAGTATACAACGATATAGATAAAGCGAACACAACCACCACATAACGTCTTGCATTGCCGTTAAGATTGACATCATCGTCACTTGAAGAAAAGAAAAGACGAGAGAAAAAAGGTTGTAAGAACTGCACGCGGAGCAACAACAGCTTTTTTGCATTAATCAATAAGACAATACTCGAACAACACAACATCGACAAGAAAGAAAAGATAAAAAAAATCATCTGGTGCACATTAGAAATGTAAAATTGTTTGAATATTATTTTTGTTTTTTATTGGTCATATTGTTCTTATAACATGTTCACACTTTTGCCATCACTTTATCTTGTTGCTGTTCACTATTTTCGACAATGGAATGCATCTTATTATGACGAAGAAAATAAAGAAGAAGAGAAAACATCATTTGTGGGTGATAATATACATGACAAGAACATAACACAAACATCAAAACACATACCATCAACAGAATTGAATAAAAAATGTGATTTTACTCTTCTTCAACATAATCATGAATCATTAATAAATAATTACCAATCATGCACTCGTTCGGCTGTTCATGAAACGAATAGCTATTTATCACATATCAATAATGACGAGGTTGATCAATGTAGTGAAACAAAATCACGTACAATAAAACCCAATCTATCTTCGTCATTGTTAAACATCGAACGAGGTAAAGTCTATACAGGCGATCTTGACGAAAATGACATGGTCCTTTTAATGAACGAAACTGGGTTTACTCAAGAACAGATTTTATTATGGCATAGTGATTTTCTTGTATGTAATATATATATATATACATATGATTTATCAATGGTAAGATATATTTTGTTTTTATATCCTTTTAGCGTGATTGTCCAGATGGCAAGCTTTCCAAATCCAAATTTATTGATATTTACAAACAATTTTATAAGAAAGGTCAAGTAGCTAAATTTTGCGAACATGCCTTTCGTGTATTTGATAAAGATGGTTCAGGTTCCATTGGTACGTAGTAACATTTTTATTAAAAAAATCAGACGAATTCATTTGTTTTAATTAGATTTTGCTGAGTTTCTTATTGCTGTTAGTATGACATCAACAAAAGATCCAGTACGAAAAATGGAACTTTTCTTTTCTATGTACGATATGGATCAAGATGGTTTTATTGACGAAAACGAAATGCGATGCGTCGTTGAGGTATGTTTTATGACTATTATTGATGTATGTATATATTTCAAAAGAAACACTTATCAATTCACATTAAACACATGTGAATCACTATCTTTTTTTTCATGTTTGATACAAAACCAAATAAGTCTTCTTTTTTCTCATGTATTTCTTCTGACATTTTGATATGCGTATTAATTTGTTATTCACATATGAATGAATATTAATTGCTGTTTTTATTTTTTTTCTTTTTCTGTTTTTTTTTCTAGTCGATCTATGAATTAATGGGTATCGATATACACGATTCAACAAGAATTGACATGAAAGTACGAGAAATATTTGCTAAAGCTGAATGTGATCAATCAGGCTATTTAACAAAAGATCAATTTGCATTGGCTTGTAAGAATGATCGATATATTCGCAAACTTTTAGTGCCAAAAACAAAAGCACCAAATAATCGATGAAGAAAAACACATAAATTAAATCAGAATGATTGTAAATATACAATATCATATCGCATCGGTTTTTAATATCTAGAGCACATAGAAATATCTACCCTACGAGTACACTGTGCTAGTCATGAAGCAATTGCTTTTTTTCCCATGTATAAATAATTGTCGAACGAAATAAAAAGACAAAATATTTATTCAATAGATGCATATGTTTTTTATGTTAATTCATTTCTGATTTATGTGTTTTTATTGATTTAATCTTGAATGAAAATCGATCCATGTAATGGTTTATTTTCTGATGCAATATGATTTGAGTTCACCAAATTTTTTCTTTTCTCAATGTCAATATCATTTCTTAGATTGCATATGAATATGCTTTGAGAAATTGAAATATAATATTCTTCTGTATATTGGTTTAACCTATCTAAACTATACTGAAATATCATGATAAAAGTTAATTTTTTTTCGCATATTATCTTTAAAAGCTTTATAACTATATTTTGTCATTCAAATGCAGACTGATGAAATATTTTAAAGATTAATTTAAAATTTTAAAAGAAAAAAAACAAGGTATTTCTTTCTTAACAATATTTAATGACATTTCACAATTTTTTGTGTTTCCTGTTAATCAGTGTTTTATCTAACACGAATGCGCGGAGTTTCTCCAAGGATCCGGTTGACCCTCCTGGAGTTTGTCGTTATTGTACCACGTACTATGTGTTTGTGTTGCCGACAACAAATATTCGCACACCCGGAGTTTAAAACTCCAATTTTGGAAGAAAAAATTTGAAGAAAACAAAGCTTTTGATAGACATTAAGATCCTGTTTAAACTATGTGATCAGTAGAATGAATGAGCTCAACATGTATTCGACGGAACTTTTAGATTATTAGCAAAAGAGAAATTAAATTAGAATAGATTATGCAAATATTGTTTAGATTTTTCCCACAAGAATTTTTATATCTTCTGATAAACAGCTGTTCATTTAAAAAGATGCTTGATGATATTTTGATTAATCTACTCAGTATTTCTTTTCTAGTTTTGCCTATAAACTAATGACTTCAGACAGTTTGATATAGATCAAATCATAATTTAATTTTTGTGAGAACAATATAAGATTTTATCAAAATAGACTATTGTGCGTATTTATCGAATTTATAATGTTTTTCTCAATGTCAATTTTTATCGATTAATAATTAATTGTATTTTTGACAAAAATGATGATTACACGAGAAAAAAAGCATAATTATTGGAAATCTTCGATTTATGATTAGATTTTGTATCTCTAGTGTAAATTTACTCTATAGAGGAAAGAAAATAAAATTAACCAGAGAAATAATGTCTGATTCTGATGATTAGTAAATAAATTTCCGGATGATCGAAATTCAGTCATATTTTATATTCTCAGCAACGATTTATATGTTTCAACGACATTTGCTAATAATCGAAAATAAATTTTTTATTTGTCATTTCGCTTGAATGAACACAATTTCTTAAACATTAAAAGCAAACATCAAGTTTCAAGTATTTCTATGACAAGTTAATGCATTGGAAAAGCTTACGTGGACACACATATAATTATTTTAATATCATACAAATTACATATGTCAAATATGTTTTCCTACACTCATATTGGCGCATCTTTCAAGTTAACACATCATGCTAATTTCATTTGAATGGTTCGAAATTAGCGGAAATGTCATAAATGGAAACTTTTTTAACCTGATTAAACAAAAACATATTCTAGTTTTTCTATTTAGAGAAAAATTCGATAATAATATTTAATATTTTAAGTAAACCATATATGTTAAGAAGAACTAAATCATTTGTGAATATTAATTTGCTTTATTAAGAATTCTATTGCACCTAATAAATGATAGATTTAGAGACGTACTTTCGAACTTTCCTTATTGTAATCCAGAAAACAAATGAAATTGAGTAACAACACTTTTATCGAAATAATGACACATAAATGTCGATAGGGCAGTATTCTCAATCATTGTAAAATATATTATTCTTTCTATCTCACGAAGACAAAACATTTTATTAATCATTACGAATAAAGAATTAATCAGTAAATATAATCGAATTAAATTATTGTTTTTGATATCATATAATGTTGAACAACCGACAGATATTTGTTTTTCTTCACAATTGACAAGTTATCCAAATTGAAAAAAAGAAACAAAGAGAAAAAATGATACTAAAACGATATTAGAGGCCAATTATGTTCATCAAAAAAAGAAAGAAAAAAAAAACATGAGAATTATCATTAGATAAAAATCTGTATAATTTTTCTACTTAATTTGATGCATCCTCGCGAAACAAAAAAAAGACAAAGAAAAAAACCCTTTAAAATCGCGCTTATTTATGAAGTAGTAAGTAATACATTGAATATATATTTTATATGTTGATTTAAGAGGCAGATGGTGCAAGTAATTTTCTTAAATAATCATCTTGTAAGCAACCAGTAACGAATTCGTCTTTCGATAATCTTTGATCGCTATTTATGTCCATTTTTGAAAATATTTGATCAACCTTCATTTCCGGTGAATTTGAACCTCTCTTTTCTTCGCCGAGAAGATCATAGATAGCCTGGTTAGAAAAAAAGCGATAATAAGTATTTAGATTTCAACGAAACACAAAAAAAAACATCATAAACTTAATTCTTACATCCATGATCTTTTTCATTTCCTTTTTCTCAATATATCCATTACGATCAATGTCTAATAAATAATAGAAAATTTTCATAAATAAAAGATTAAAACCGTATAACAAAAAGAACAATAAAAAATACATACCATACATTGAAAATGCCCATTCTAATTTTTTTTTTGGATCCTGTTGAGCCGTAATTGAAATAGCAATTAAGAATTCACCAAAATCTAAAATAATGATAATAATATTCATCATTTTCTTCTCGTTTTTGATAGTAAACAATGAATAATTTATGCATGGATTACTGGTTCATCCGTTCATTCTTCTTTCAATGTCAAGTAGCATTACTGTTGATGGTTTAACCCTTAGAGAATATTTCCTATTACTTCGTATGCTTCATCTATTTTACTACTGTTAAATTACGTATTATAAATTGCTTGTTAGTTTTGAATGATTTTTTCTCTGACTCTTAATATTCTTTTTTGTTCTCAAGAGATAACGACACAAGATTTATTACTTCTAAGTTGTTTTTTTTTCTGATTTTGTTTTTGATATTATAGTCAATGCTAAAAATTTTACGTACCTATATTGCCTGATCCATCCGTATCAAATGTACGAAAAACATATTCACAAAATTTTTCAGCTTTTCCAGTGGGATAAAATTGTTTATAAACTTCAATAAATTTCTTCTTATTTAGTTTTCCACTTGGACAATCTTTCTAAAAATTCACAACGATAAATGACAACAAAAACAATAGAAAATCGGTTTAATAATAAATGTGTTATCTGACATGTCCTTGAAATATACTATACGGATCAATTTTTATGACGTATATGTTACAACAAGTTTTTCTTTCTTTTTTTCTTATATATTATTTGCTTTTAATAATCACATCAAAATCTTGAAAAAAGATATGTCAATTGAGTGATTTATTTCAAAATCAAAAAGAATTCTCCGGAAATAGGAATCTTTATATTCAGCAAGAGATTAGTGCATAGTATTCTACTATTCTATTTTTTTTCTCATTTTTTCCGCATATATTGAAGAGCAATCAATGCATACTAGTCAAAAAGAAACGATTGTGATCGAGTGGATTGTCAAAGCACAAATTCAGTTCATCCTTTCTTTTTCTTTCGTGCATTCTTATCTAATGAACAGAGTGCTCTAACGCAATAGTGACAATGACAATACTCCAGCTTGCGCCTCAAGTAATGTGATCAGATGCATTGACATTGCTGATGCAATTAGACAGAGCGTAACTTTCTCTCCGTCGTTTGCCTTCCATCAATGGTAACTTTAATTTAAGTAAGAGAAAGAAAGAAAAATTTATGTCAGAAATGGAAAGAAAAAAAAATATGTTAAGATTTTAACTGAAAAAAAACAACAGCAAAATTCAATACAACTATCAACACATCTCAGTTTGTTAGTGATTGTAGGTTGTGTACATTCGTGTTTTGACTGACAGAATATTATTTGACAATACGATATACGAGTCAAGTGTTCATTTTATATTTATTTATATCTGATCAAGTAGATAGGAAATGTTAAGCGTGATGCTTATGAATGCAAGCATGTGTAACATCTGGCAGAAGAAAAAGTTTACTTACCAAAAAGCCTGAATGCCATTCGCGTACTTGCTCTGGTGTAAAACCAGATAGATTGCATAATTCCGTTACATCAGCTTCGGAAAGTGCCTTGCCTCGCTTAACACGTGCTTCTTTATTACCCATTAATTTTTTTTTTAGTTTATTAACAAAAACTTGTACGTGACAAATAAAATATACTATAAAATCTGTAAGAAAAAATAAAAATAAATGAATAAGAATGAGACATTAGGGAAGTATGACGAGAATCGAAATAGAAATACAAAGATAGGTGACAGATTGCTTGCACAGTGAGTGACTGTCTATATTTTCTTTTGCATTTTCACGTTTCAAATGAAAGAGAAACAAGCAGAACATGATGAAGAAAAAAAAGAAAAATAAAGAGAAAAGAGAAGAAATAGAGAATGGAAAAAGAAAGGAAGAACGAGAAAGAAAAGAAAATAGAGAGGAATAACTTCGTATCTGTTGTGATACGTCTTTTCGTTCATTTACTACTCATATAACTGATCGTATTTCTTTTAATTCTTATTGAAATACAATTATAATCGAACTAAATTAACTAGTTTTTTTCAATAATAAGAAGTAAAAATAAAATGGCGGCAAGCAAAAAATGTCTTCCATGTTTGATTAGTAATAACAGGTGGAAAAAAATTTATATGTGCGCTAAAATAAGGTCAATATAATGACAAGAATATAAAAAAACAACAAAAAAAATGAGCAAAAAAGAATGCCATTGGAGAATAACTAAAAGACTTTCCACATAGAAAAATGAAAAACTACTTTCCTTTTTTAATTTCTTAAAAAGTATCTTATCATAATTGACTTGATTCATTCATATACATTAAATATGCTTTGCAAGCACACCTATTTGAATAAATTTTTTTTTTTCTGTCCTTGAAAAAAGCCACGTTATTGAATATGTCCACCTTATAACGGTTCTCATTTGAGTACACAGATGCATAACAACTCAAATATAAATCAAAACGAATAAGAAAGAAAGTAGAAAAGAAAAATTTTACACCGAGGCTTTATTCTCACTGTGAGGACTCGCTTGATTAGTTCTCATCTTTCTCATTTTTCATTTGTAATAATATACTCATATACATCATCTTTTTTTTTAAAGTATTGTTCTCAAAAAAAAAAAAACAGAATCTATATCATTACATATCACTTTATATCACGCTATCCAAAGAAAAAAACACGTGTTTTTTCCAGGTAGATTACAAAATCCTCAAAAGTTAATATTAAACAGTAGATAATCATCGACAAACATGTTTCTTTTTTAATTCACTCTGTCATCTGATGATACGTGTTGGCATGCCAATATGGGTGTCTGTGTGTGTGTTGTAGATTCAATCTTATTTTCTTTTTTTTCTCTCGATTAGTAATCGTAATACTCGTTAGAGAATGATTTTTTTAGAACATTGCAGTTCTTTCGTCTTGTGTTAGAACAAAAAAAGCAAGAAAAGATAAAGAGAAACTGCACGTGAGAAGCAAAACATGAAGCAATGAATGTTGGATTATTTGCTTTGAGATGATTAGATTAAGAAGAGTATTGATAATGGTCAATTGACATTTTGTTAATTCCAATAGCACTTTTTTATGGACTTCTATTGTATGTCTGTATTCAGCAAGAAAAATAAAATTAATGTACACAATAAAAATGGAAGAAAAAGAAAACGACATATTTACATTTAATTATCGTATTCTAACTCGAAAACTATTATAAATAATGTATAAATTATTTCGAGTTATTTTTCTTCTTTGTAATAAATGACAAATGTCTAGGATACTATTATTATTATTGTTCGACATTATTGATTTATCTAATCAGAAAAAAAACATGAAAAGTTTATATCTTGTCACTATTTGATATTTGAAACCAAGGTTAATACTGAAAAATATATTCGACTTAAAAATTATCTATATCGAGATTAGGCGACTCAATACTAGATGAAGGTGATCAATATCGCTGACATTTTCTATTTGGTGATGCTGATCGTGGGTGAGGTCAGGTTCACAGGTTTTTTTCCCTCATGCTCGTCTTCTATTTATTCAACGATCTCTTCTTGCGACTTTTTATTATAAACCGTCGTAAATCGAAGCATTTTAATGTATTGTTCGACATATTAGTATAATCTTTTCAAAACAAAAGTTCACAATAAGTTATGTAAATTTGTTGAAAACGTTAGTCTTTACATATTTAACTTCGAATAAAATGTGTAATTTGTATAATATCAAGTAAAATATCAATCACTGTTTATTTTAGTATCAATACTAATAGATGTTGTCCTTCTTTTTCTTTGCTTTTTATGATCATGTTACCGATGATGATCTTTATTGGGATAAAATTTTTTATAATAATATATATAAGATGTTGTTGCTGTTTTTCATAGTATATGATGTCATAAATTTATTATAGACAATTTTTATCTTTTTTTTATTTCTATTAATGCTATATTTTTTTAATATCTGATTGATACAAGTATAAGATAGAAAGTAAAATAATCAACAATTGTGCCATGAAGATCTTGTTCATGTAAAACTAAAAATGATTCGATGGTAAAGTTATGATTTATTGATGGTATTTTGAAACTTATAGAAATGCATCATAAAAAATTTGTATTTGTTGAAAAAGAATGGTAGAAGTAATATGAAATTTAATTAGTTTAATTGATTGTATCATAGAATAAGAAATAATAATTGAATGTGGAGCAATTTTCAATTGATATTTGATTAATTAGATCGTTGTTTTAATATCTTGGAATCATTTAGAACTATTTTTAAACTAAAAAAAAACAAACTATTACAATCAACATTTGTTTACTGTAATTGGACATATATATCGTTCTTTTTTTTTCGACAACAACAAGTAATAATAACATATTACGTATGGATATACCGTATGTTGATAACTCTTTCTCTTCTCATGAAAAACTAGGATTTCAATAGTGCACATATAACACATATAACATTAAATTTTTATTGAATATTTTCATCGTACTGTACTTTTCATATAATCTTTGTTTCAAGTCGAAATTTATCCATATATCGGGTTTTGAAAATTTTTCTTTCATTTTCGTTGATATACAGATATATTTTTAAATCAGAATAAAAAAAGAATTTCTTTTGGAAATGTCAGAACGATGAAGCACAATAAGAGTAAGTATGTGCATGACTGTTCTCTCTTATGTCTTTCTCGATCAACTACAACTGTTGTTGCTGCTCATGTTTATTTATTAGTCCAATTCGAGACACAAATAAAAGAAGAATTGAAGAAAAAGAATCTTATATTTTGCTTCTATGTCAATGTACTTGAAATTGTAGCCATTTGTGCTGCTTTCTGTTTCTTTTCTTTCGATCATTACTATGAGGATGACGACAACGCCAATTTTCTTCCTTATTTCAACAACAATAAGCTATTAATCGAGTGGTGCATATTTAAAAAAAACTCGTTCGTGCAAATGATTTGTCCGAAGTGTGATAGATTTTTATTAGCACGCGAAGGCATTCTTCGAGCTGGTCGTAAGTATCATCGACATTGTTGGACTTGTGGTGAGTTAATTACCTCGTGAAAATGATGAACAAAAGATGTTTTTTTTATTATTATTTTCTTTTTTTAGCACAATGCTCGTCACCATTGACTTCATGGGTTCGTCAACAACCCATAACTAATGAATATCTTTGTAATAATTGTCATATTAGAAAACATGGATTAAGAGAAGGCATTATTTTTGTTAACTGGAACAAACAACAAACAAAATCAATCATGTCTTCGAACATACAGTAAAATTTGAAGCTTGTTTTCTCAAATCAAAACAAAAACACAAGAATTCTTTTATCTTTATTTAGATCATCGACACTAATCGACGATATTCTACTTATGTAAAAGAATCGTTTATATATATATATATATTGGATGTCATTTCTATAAGACTAATATGAACTTTTTATGAACATAATATACTTCTTTATTTACTAAATAAAACATTTTTCAATAAGACAAACTGATATAAAAGTGAAATGCTGAAGTTAGTGTGAATGCTCTTCAATCAAAACGTTATCAATAAATCAAACAGCATCTACTACAGTATACGCATATATGTATATATACACTTAGTCTGTTTTTGCATAATCCTATTCATAAGTATCAATAGAGAAATTTGAAAATCTTAGTGACCCTATAAAAAATTGATGGCTATGATACTTTATTTGAGATATAGCCTAAACCGATTAAAAATAATTATATTCAATGTATACTTGTTAAAATTTAGAGCATTACTGTTTGACAAAGACTGAATATCATTATCACGTGAAAAAAAAGATAATCATACCAAAGGAGTTTCAAATATTTTCTATTGAATGATATGAATTAAATTTGTTAAATTATAAGTAAAAGAAAAACTAAATAAGAACAATAATAGTTGCAATGTGATTTATTCTAATAGTTGTTTAGTAAAATTTTCAAACTAGAACAACTTTATGATCAATAGTTGACTAATGATATGGCTATTGAGATTATGCTAAATAATTCTCGAGCTATCTTCATTATTGTTGATATCGATATTGTTCGTATTTATATTATTGTCATCATCTTTTACATATGGATAATGATTTAAGTTCGGAAAAAGAAACATAATCGATTTCTTACATTAGGTTGGTTATTTGAATAACTAATATATTGAAAAAAGAATTGATTGAGAATTTTATTCTGAACAATACATATGAATTATTTGTTACGCTTTGCTGTTCATCTGAGAGTTCAGTCATTGTCACAGTGACCTATGTACGAAATTTATTTAACATGATTCTCTACTTTTCATGTAATATTTGGTGGTATATTGATAAGTACCACATAATTAAACAGGAAGTTAAATCAGTGATGGATTCAGGATTTCCAAGCAGTGATAACTTCTAAACGTATCATCTGAGATAGTGTGAGTTTTTTTCGAAGCCCATGAAGTAGCCTACTCACACATATACAGTTCTTCGTACGATTTAAAAAAAAAGAAAAACCTACAAATTTATGAATAAATAGTTTTTATTAAAATAAAACACTGAACAATAAAACCCAAATACCTAGACAACGGTTAAATTTCGCACATTCATAAATAACAGAATCTATTTAATATTTGAATCTCGCCATTTTATTAAGTACTTCAAACTTTGATTTTTTTTTGAAGTTATCATCAATCAATAGGCGAAATAATTAATGCCATTTTTCAATCAATCGCTCTTACTCACTGGAGATCTTTACTTAGCATTGAAGCTGCACTTCAACAATCGCGATTGACAGCTCTTGACGGCCTTGTCAATTTCAAAATTTTAATTGTCTTATGCAAACATTTTATTCGAGACACCCTTGAAAAGATTTCTTTATTAACTTTATTTCTAAAAAGGGATGTTAATCGTAGGACCATTATGCTGATAGATACGCCATTGAGTCGAATTCAATCATTTCTAGTGATAGAATACATGAGTCCAGGTGCACCATAGTGACAATCATAAATGATTGTATGCGACCACTAACAATGGCATAAACGCCTGTAAAGGATGGTTCCCATTTACCACAAATTGTGATTCCCTGAATTCATCCCTAAATTGCATCCACATTTGTGGATAATTAAACAACTAGAGTCAATAGTGGTGACCAAGTAGGGATATTAATTTAGGGATTTTTTTTAATATGAAATATGCTGTACATTGCTTAATTCAATATCATCGTTGCTTCGATTGATTATCATTTACCACAAATTATGGCTCCCTGATTTATCTCTAAATCGTAGTCATATTTGTGAATAATTAAACAATTATGGTCAACACTGGCGACCAGATACGGAGTTTTTAATTTATAGATCTTTTAAATATCAGATATGACATACATGGTATAATCCAATGGTAGGTTATCATTTCTCACAAATTGTGGTTTCCTGAATCGATTCCTAAATTAGATCTACATTTGTGGACTACCAAACAGTTCAGGTTAATTGTGGTGACCAAGTAGGGACTTTGTCATTTGGGAACTTTTTGCTGTAAAACATTACACATGGTCTCTCATAGTGAACACCATTATAAGTCGATTCTTTTTACGACCTGGTGCAACAATTAGTCTCTAGTTTTCAGAATAGGTAGTAGTGACCAGTTTTTATTAAATAACAGTATCTGGTGACCAGATTTGTAAAAATACCTGAGTCTAATGATTACTTCTTTTTGAAAGATCTGTAACTGGTCACCAGATCTAGTCCTTTTAAGAAAAAATAGTTCCTAGTTATAGTTCTTCGAAAAGGACCTGGTCACCAGCTCGATTTATTTCAATACGATCTGGTCACCATATACAATTCTTTCAAGAAAAATAGGTCACTAGCTCCAGTATTATAATATAATCTGGTTACCAGATCCAATTCTTTTAAGAAAACTAGTCACCAATTATCGTTCTTCTAAACGAAAGTAATCATTAGACTCAGTTCTTTTTACAAATCTGGTCACGAGATACTGTTATTTAAGCCCCCCCCCCCCCGCCCCACTAAAAACCGATCTCAGCCCAGGTACGTTCAAATGGGCTGAAATTTGGAGCATATCTTGGGGCTCAGGTGAGGAGGCTGTGGTAAAATTTTTAGCTCGATACCATGATGTTTGACAGAGATATGAACCAACAAGGGTCAAAAATAGCTCATTTTGCGACAAAAATTTCTCGATCCAGGCTCATACAATATGTTTATTTATTTTTTGTTAGAAAGAGCATGTCGAGATGCGGAGCACCACAGTCCTTCTTTTAATTTTTACTTTTTTAGCGGAGAAAGGGGTTCACAAGTTCAATGACTCAAAAAAGACGCCAAAAATGAGTGTTCAGTTACATAAGTGTCTGTAAATATAATAAAAAACAGCTTAATTAAACAAAGGACTCTGTGGTGCCCTGCATCTCGACGTGCTCTTTCAAATAAAAAAAAATTTCCGTATATTGATTGAAGATCCTCCAAGAATTCCTTGTCAGAAGATCAAAAAGGCATAAACCGAGAAAAAATGAAAAACATTTTTTGAACTGAAATTTTTCAAGATTTTTGTCCTTTTCGACGGTTTTTTGGTATCTTTGAAGAGAATAATCACTCACGGTCATATATCTTTGTAAAGTATATATAAATAAACTTTTTTTTTCATAAAACTTGCTAAAGGATCTCCATGTTTCATTAAAGTGCTTAGACGGGCTATCTTCCCATGCATTTATCTCAATTGCGAAATTTCTGACGAAAATTGACTTTTTTTTGAGTGGGGGAGGGGGCTTAATAAAAACTGGTCACTACTACCTATTCTGAAAACTAGAGACTAATTGTTGCACCAGGTCGTAAAAAGAATCGACTTATAATGGTGTTCACTATGAGAGACCAAGTGTAATGTTTTATAGCAAAAAGTTCCCAAATGACAAAGTTCCTAAATTAAAGTCTCTACTTGGTCAATACAATTAACCTGAACTGTTTGGTAGTCCACAAATGTGGATCTAATTTAGGAATCGATTCAGGAAACCACAATTTGTGAGAAATGATAACCTACCATTGGATTATACTATGTATGGCATATCTGATATTTAAAAGATCTATAAATTAAAAACTCCGTATCTGGTCGCCAGTGTTGACCATAATTGTTTAATTATTCACAAATATGACTAGGATTTAGAGATAAATCAGGGAACCATAATTTGTGGTAAATGATAATCAATCGAAGCAACGATGATATTGAATTAAGCAATGTACAGCATATTTCATATAAAAAAAATCCCTAAATTAATATCCCTACTTGGTCACCACTATTGACTCTAGTTGTTTAATTATCCACAAATGTGGATGCAATTTAGGGATGAATTCAGGGAATCACAATTTGGGGTAAATGAGAGACATTCGCTGAACTCTGCGTTAATTTTTAATTTAGAAGCATATCATTTTCATTTAATTTCGACAAAAGATCGATTGCTGAAAAGCAAAAGTTGAGAGTAGCAGATTGATTTGTATCTTAGATATACGGGTCGGTCTGTTTAACAATTGACTTAAAAATATATTTCCAAATATTGTATTTAGTTCTGCTACATATTTAATGGTGAACGAAAATAATGCATTTAGACATGAATTCTTCGTCCGAATCGCTCGATCGTTTGCGTCACTGAAGTATTTACGTATTTTGAATATTGAATCGCAGGTATTAGCTGATCTTCTCGCATCATCATCTGATCATCGTCAATCATATTCAGTCGTCGAATATCCACAGCTTGCGTCACTCAATGTTACCTATAGCCATGAAGATTATCTTGAACAATTTCTAAATGAAGCAAAGGTATATGTATCTTGTCTGACCGAATTGACAGTGTGTCATCGTGAGTTAAAAATGGTGACAAAGAACTTTACAAGAGAAGAAACACGACGCAATTGTGCTAAAGTGAACGATTAATTTGTATTGAACCTTTGAGTAACTCAGAAGATCACTCTCATTATTTTCCTTCGTTGTAATTGTATTCTTGTTTTGATTGATTCAATAAATTGGAATAATAGATCATTTTATGATGATATTATTATAGAAGTTAGAGATGCCCATGGTAGTGCTGCCACGTTCGTTTATAAAATTCTGCGATGCTGTTTCTTCTTAGAAGAAATAGCAAAACTTGTTGGAAAATTTATAGAGGATTCAGGTGTGCATAATTGTAACACTTAGAGATTATATAGATCTCATAGATTCATTTCAGCAGGATCAGTTCAGTACAGCAATTCGATCAATTTTTGATAGGATCTTGAAAGCCATCGCGATAACGGTGTGGTAGCACATTTTTAGTCTCAGTGGTAATCTCTCATAAAAGTTCCTCTATATTCAGTTGTAAGAATAAAATTATATTTTTTATTCTTATACTTA